AGAGAGAGAGAGAAAGAGAGAGAGAGAGAGAGAGAGAGAGAGAGAGAGAGAGAGAGAGATTGCATGCTTGCAAAATGTCATCAAGGACATTCATGTTCTTCCTGTGGTTGCTAAGAATTCACCATCCTTCCAACAAGGAGTACAAGCAAATATGGGATGGAATATTGTTTAGAATCACCTGGTCTAACCCCACTTTTCAGTGTGACCTCCCAAGGTGGCACAAAACGCTACAGGAAGAACAAATGTTAAAAATCAGTTTAAGGAAAACTTCTGGAATTGTGTAAGGAGGTCTATAGATAATTTCCCCAGTGAAACTACCATAACTGGTGAAAGTTTAAAAGAACAGTCATTTATTGTCCTGGAAATTGGCCTAATGACAGAGTGAAGATACATATTATGGACACAGATCATAAATGTGATGCATTGAAGAGATGTGTGCTTTTTCATAGTGATGTGGGAAGAAGAAAACAATTTACATTTACTAAATAGTTACCATAGGTATTTTTAATATGTGTTATTTAGTTGAGATATCACAAAAGCTCCAAGGAGTTACTGCAAGTTACTTGATTTTATAACCTTCACTTGAAGGGAAAGAGTACTTCAATCAATGTGTAGCTCTATTTATTGAGCATGTCCTGTATGGCAGACTTTGGGTTAGGTCTTGGGGATACAGTGTCCAACAGATGGGTACCATTGTTAACTGTGCAATCAGAGAGGAAACATTCAACAATCACAAAAGTGACAATACATTTACAATGGGGTATCTATTTTACCACAAATCACATCAAATAAGTTATTGACTGCTTAATATATGCCAGGTACTGAGATACATTCTTACCTATGTAAGTGTATTTTATATAATGTATCTTATGTGATAGCTGGTGTTTGACGGGTACTGTTTTAATACTTAAAACAGACCTATAAATTAGGTACTATTGATGTCCATGTTTTTATAGTTGCTGAACAAGAGCCCTGGAAGTTAATAATTTACCCGAGATCTTGCAGAGCCAGTAAATGGAAGAATAAGGCTTTGATTCTGGGCAGATTGTCTCTAGAACTTTAGTTGTGTGTTTATTGTGTCACAACTTCTCACCATTCCTTAAACAGTTTATAAGCAGCAAGGCTGGGATTCAAACTCCTGTGAACCGACACTCGGAACCTCTCTGCCGTGCTGCTAACATGGGAACAAGGAACAGGACAAACAGTACGCAGGCTGTGAAAAGCATAAAAGGGAGATCTGATCCAGAGACGTGTCAGTCAGGAAGGCAGACTGAGGTCGAGGAAGGTGAGCTATGTGGTGTTGACTTAATAGAAAGGGGAGAAAGAAAACCAATGTGCTGAGGCAGAGGAAACAGGATGTGGAAATCTCAGGAATGGCAATGAACTTAAGGCATTCGAGGAAGGTCAGTGCAGATGGCGCATGTTAAGTATTATAAAAAGGGAAGTGATAGGGTGTAGTCAGCTCACATACTGAACATTAAAAAAACGAAAAAGGGAAAGCTGATCATTAATTTTAAATAGAGTCAAGGTAGGGGCCGGCCGAGTGGCGCGATGGTTAAGAACTGGCTTGGGATGCCAGAGGGCCCCGGTTCGGATCCCACATATGAGGGCCAGTGACACTGTCCTCTATAGCTAAGATGCTGAACAACAGCTCAACCTGGAGCTGGGCTGCCGTGAGTCGCCAGCGATGGCATAGACTGCAGCCCCTGCTGCAGTGGGTTGCCATGGGCTACCGTGTGTAGCCAGCAGCCAGCGTGAGCTGCCAGCAGCCGCAGTGAGCGGCCGTCCAGAGGCCGGCGACGCCTGGGAAGAGCACAATGATGGTGCCAACTTGGGCCAGTGAAGCAACGTCCTCCACAACTAGACTGAAGAACAAAAAGACAGCAACTTGTCTGTTCCCCTTCCCCCAATTCCCCAGCGCTGTTCCCATCCCCCCATTTCCCCAATTAAAAAAATAAATTAATTAAAAATATATATATAGTCAAGGTAGGATCATACCTCAGTTTCTGATTTCTAACCGCTGTTGCAATTTTCTAGTAATTCTTAGATTCAACTTTAGTTCTTGTTTTTCATAATTTATCAGGTGCTCTTTCAACCTTAAGTGTGAAGAAAATTAGGAAGCTGATATGGGAGATTTCTACTGTTTCTACTCAGTAGCTGTGAGGAATCTGCATATTGGATTTGTGTGTTTAGAAGTTTCAGTGAAAAACCTTTAACCAATGTTAATTAGTGAATTAGAAAAATAAAGTCTTTGCTCATCTGACAAGAACACTTGGTAAGCATTCAAATATATTCCACATAAAAATAGATTGCTGAACCTGAAATTGATATTTTATTGCAACTTTATGTAATGAATATATTATTTTATGACCTGTCAACTGTTTAGCCATAAATAGAATTCCTACATACAAAACACTCATTTCGTCCTTCCAAAAGTACATCAATTACTTCTTTTTTTTTCTTTTTGACAAATATCATCATAAAAACTTTAATTAATGAGTGGAACTACTTGCTTGTTTTCCTCTTTAAGATTCACTTAAAAGTCAGCTCTACTTGGAATAAAATACTTTACAATAAGAAACTCAGATCAACCATTATACAATATTTCCGTTTATTTTTGAAACACATGCAAGGAAGTATGATCAGGCAAACAACAATAGAGATGTGCTAAAATATTTGCAAACTATTTGTGTACCAGCAATTTTCCCGAGATTTTTGGATTCTTATGTAAATAGTGTTTTAAAATAGTCTACAATCAGAGAAATTTCTATGTTAAAAGTGCATACATGTTTACAAGTATATATACATACAGACATGTTATAAATAACATGAAAAAAACTGGTGCCTTGCTATCAGATTTAAGATGGCAAGACTCTGACATATAACTTAGTTTTTCACTCACACACTATCTGAAGAACACTGTGGGCTAAATAAAAGGACGAGCTATGAATGAATCATTCATAAAGCTGTGTTTTTGAAAGTGGGTCTTCAGGATACACATTCAGGATACACAGCTGAATCTGTATACCTTTTTATCTGCCTCTGTTTCTGCACATTTATCTTCCAAGACAATCTTGCCAGATTCACCACTTCCTGATGTTCTTCACCTCTGTGCTTTTGTGTATTCTGTCCCGTCTGCCTCGAGTGTCTTTTCCAAGCTCCACTTTTCCTCACACTTGTGCTTCTTAGCATTGTTTTAAATTTTAGCTCCAAGTCACTTCCTTTGAACTTTCCATCATTCTTCCTTTTCTCATATATCATTTTATCTTGTTTGTTATAGTGCCATTTTTTTCTTCAAAGCTATTGTACTTATTTATATGCATATTTTCCCCACTACTACCTTGGAATACAGGAAACATGTTCTAATCACCCTTGTATCTTTCATTTCTAGTGCAGTGACTGAGACTTGGTTCATGTTTCATAAATGTCCATCGGGTGAAGTTAGGATGAGTAGATGTTTACCAGGCAGATGAAGTGCAGCATGTGGAGTTCCAGGCATGGGAGGAGTGCATGCATGGGCGCGTGGATGCACGAGAACATGTTGTGTTCTGGCAATGACGATGCATCCGGTGTGGATGCAGAAAGTTTGGAGCAAGAATCCAGAAGGGGAGCATTTAAAAGGAATATGGAGGCTCTAGAAGATTGGTTGGCCTTTGGTAGACAAAGACTTAAGCCAGGAAATGAGATGATTACATATGTGTTTTGGAGGGAGAGCAAGTTGGTAGTATTATCTAAAAGATGATGGAATTAGAAAGGCTAACTCAAAGTGATGTTTTTATTAAAGAGGAGCGAATTAATTAGGAAGACACTTTGAAGATGGAATTCACGAGATCTGAAGAGGATATGTTGCTTTGAAATTATTTTTAATGTAATCCTTCTAATGCAGTTGGATTGCATGTTTTACAGTCGCAAGCAACGTCTGTTGTGATTTTCAGTAGAATAATGTGATGCCAGTTTTGGACAGGGCTGTGTGGCTGCCTGGACAGCATAATTCAAGAGGAAAAACTGTGCTAATTGTTCTCTGCCACTAACCACCACTCTCCAACACCTGGATGCTATCTATCCTTTTGGTAGAGGTGGTGAGGAAAATTCAGTTTGACACTAGAGCTTTCAGGTGCATTAAGCTAATTATCATCAATTTATGGAGTAATTAATTGCTGTTAATGATAAGGTTTCACCTTGAAATAATTTCAGTAGACCTTCTTTGTTAATGTATGTATATGTAATCTCACAAAGTATATTTCATCAAAATAAATTATTTCTTGGAGGAATCCCTTTATCACTCTAGCCCTAGTAACTGGCACATAATAAGCAATCCCTTAAATGTGTGCTGAATGAATGAATAATTGAAAGGCAGATAGTTGATAGAAGAATGAAAAAAGAAGGATGTGTAATTAGTTCATAATTCTAGCACAAATATGCTTAAAGAAACACCATTTGCTTGATTCTCATTACTTTTCCCAAATGTCACTAGTAAAGGTTTAACAGGTATTTTTAAAATTTTCATATTTCATCTTTTCAATATTTTTAAAGAAGCATGCTCCAAAAATATAATAACTTTCAAAATTTAATGGCTATGCCATTCAAAATTTAAAATATTTATCAAGTAAAATAACTATTGCATCAAAATGTAAATATTCTTTTCCTTTTATTATTAATTTAACAAATATTTATTGAGGAACTAGTGTGTCCCACATGTTGCTGTGATGATGATGTAAAATGAAAAGGCATAGTTACTATTTCCAAGTAGTGTATGACCTTGCAAAGAGAAAAGCATGCACATAAAGTTTTCAATTACCAGTTAGGTAGTATATTAGTTTCGTAGGGCTGCCATAACAAAATACCATAGAGTGGGAGGCTTAAACAACAAAAATGTATTTCCTTACAGTTCTGGAGTCTACAAGTCCAAGATCAAGGTGTTGGCATGTTTGATTTCTCCTGAGGACTCTCCTTTTGGCTTGCAGATAGTATCTTCTCACTGTGTCTTCAGTTTTGTTCTGCATGTGTGCATGTCTCATATCTCTGTGTCTAAACTGAGAAAGACTCAAGTAATATTGGACTAAGGCCCACCTTAAAAACAAAACAAAAAACCCCACCTCATTTTAACTTAATCACCTCTTTAAAGACCTTCTTTCTAAATATGGTTATATTCTGAGTTACTCGAAGTTAGGACTTCAGCATATTAAATTTGGGGACACAATTTAGCTCATAATAGCTAGGATTTAGGATTTGACCCATCTAAAAGGACCAAGCATCTCAGATTCTCAGACTCTCTTTTGATCTCTGTTTGAATTAAAGTAACATTATTATCCCTCTAAAGAGTAGCTATATATTAGTTACTTTGCTATTTTCCTCTTTTTTTTTCCATGTTGGCTAAATTACCAAAGCTTTAAATGGAGATGTTTATATCATGTATATATTAATATGGAGTAAATTGCGTTCCCTCAAAATTCACATTTGAAACCCTAACTCAATGTGACTGTATTTGGGGTGGGACCTTTAGGAGGTAAGCAAAGTTAAGTGAGGCCTTGAGAGTGAGGCCCTCATTCAATAGGGACAAGCCCCTCATGAGAGGAAGGGACCCTAGATCTGTCTCTGCCCTGTGAGGATACAGTGAGAAGGAAGCATCTGCAAGCCAAGGAGAGAGATTTCAGCAGAGTCTGACCATGCTGGTACCCTGATCATGGACTTCCAGCTTTCAGAACTGTGAGAAAATAAATTTTCTCTTATAGTAGCCCGAGCTAATACACATATTCATAATAATCTAAACATTAGATGTTTATTTAACTAAAATTATTATGAATGTGGAGAAGAGAATGCTTTTCATAGTAATAGAAGGAGTGAAAAGAGCTATATAATCATTTAATAATAGTGATAAATCCATAGCCATTGCTTATTGGTGTAAAATCAAGAAGCAACAATGCAAATGAATTATTTAGAGACATGGAAGTAAGTTCCAAACAAAATTCAAAAGAGACCTGAAAATATTGCCTCTGGGAAGAGGGAAACAGAAAAACATGTAGGACTACAAGTTTTGAAATAAAGCATGTAAACTGTTTTAATCTTTAAATTATGCATATGAGAAATTTTAATAAATAATACAAATAAAGTAAATATTAGAGTGTGAGTGTGAAATTTGAATTGCATGGCTTATTAGGTGTATCTAATCTGGATTTTAGGAAGTAATTAAAAACAAAATGTTGCAAAAGCTGCACTTTTTTTCCCCTAAAATTTAATTTATGAAAATCTGAAATGCTTAAGGCTGAATCCAGAAGCTCTGTGACC